CGCCGTCCTTGCCAGGGGGATAATAAGAGAGGCGCGGCCGAAAGTTCTGGAGCGGCGCCTGTTCGCTCCCAGCGCTCGACGGGACTCACCTCGGCTTCGAGCCCGCGAGGCCGGCCGGCGGGGGCTCAGGAGCCCAGACAAAGGGTCAGGAGCCCGGGGCGCGCGGCCGGGGCCTCACCTGTCCCAGCCAGAAGGGTCCAGGGGCGAATGCAGAGGGGCCCCCCCCGGCTCGGGGCGCGGAGGCTGACAGCGGGCTGCAGGCCGGGCGGCGCGGGGGCGGGCGCGGCGCGGGGCCTTACCATTTTTCTGAGCCCCGCCTGCCAGGCCCGGACCAGCGGACGGCCCCGGCGCCGGCGGCTGAGTCACCGCGCCCGTCACCGCCCCCGCGCCAGGCCCCGCCCCTGCCAAAGCCCCGCCCTAAGCCTCGCCCCCTGCCAGGCCCCGCCCCCGATCCAGGCCCCGCCCCCTGTCAAAGCCCCGCCTCGCACAAGGCCCCGCCCTCTTACCAAGCCCCGCCCCGCGCCAGGCCCCGCCCCCACCGCCTGGCCTGCGGAACAAAAGCTGGCCGGCCCTGGGCAGGTGTGGTCGGCTTGGAAACCCGCACGGATCCGAGGGAGGGAAGGAGGGCAGAGCAGCGGCCTGGGACATCTTGGCAGGCTATGGGGGTGGGGGAACAATACGTGTCAAGCGGCTAATTCTTTATATATATATTTTATTACTGATTTCAGAGAGGAAGGGAGAAGGAGTGATAGAAACATCAATGATGAGAATCATTGATTGGCTGCCTCCTTCACACCTCCTACTGGAGATAGAGCCACAACCCTGGCATGTGCCCTTGACCTGAATCGAACCCAGGACCCTTGATCAAGCAGCTAATTCTGTAGCCAGACCAGAAGTCGACAGCCGAGTGGACAAGCTACAGAAAGAGGGAGGAATGGCTGGCTATGGGAGGGAAGAGGAGTGGGTGGGAAAGATGATTGGAGCAGCGATGGAGGAAGGAGAGGCAGAGGGCCGCACAGTTGGATGTGACAGATACAATGGGAACCTCTAGCCAAGCGCTGGAATGCTGGAGAGCAATAGAAGGGCAGGAACCACTGACGCAGGCATGAGGCTGTAACAGGTCAGCCGTACATTCCTCGTGGTGACAGCACTTTCCAAACTCATGATGTGAAGGGACTAGAGCCCCCCCCCCTTCTCTGCAGCCACCACGTGCATATAGTGAGGGGCCCAAGCCTGGCCCCAAGTGTGGCCAACTTCAAAGGCAATTCTCCAGGCTTGCCCCAGAGCACCTGCTGGAAAGAGGAGGAAGCCAGGCAGTCTTGAACACTGAGGCCTCTGCTTTCGACACCTCTGGATAAAGAAGTCCCTGTGGCCAGCAGATTCCCGAGGGATCCTCCTGGCACAGCCCCTTTCTGGGCCTGTGTCCCTCTCTCAAAAGAAAAGGAGAGGTGTGAGGGCATGTGAACATGGATCATAACTGGCACAGGCATGGGTACTCTCTTTAACCTTGAATTTCTGGATCGTCCCTCTCTAGTCTGTAACAGTTCCGGTTTCTCATAGATTTCCCACCTGGCCTAACATATGTTCTGCTCTTAGCGTGAGCATTCACTGGGATGGACCGGAACAGGAGCTGCAATCCGGATGGGTTCAGGGTCATCACAGGCATCGGAGATGTCTATTGCAAATCCCAGGACAGGTGCCTTCCCTAAAAAGGTATTCAAGTCCAGATAAAATGACAATGAAAACTAACTACTGCTTTTCGATTCCTGCTTCAAACATAATTTTTTTGGTTAATCCTCACCCAAGGATATTTTTTCAATTGGTGTTTAGAGAGAGTAGAAGGTAGGGAGAGCGGCGGAGGGAAGGAGAGAAAGAGAGGGGGGGAGGGGAGGGGAGGGAAGAGAAGAGAAAGAAGAGAAGAGAAGAGACACATCGATTGGTTGCCTCCTGCATGCACCCCGAGGGGAGCCAGAGATTGAACCTGCAACCCAGGTATGTATGTGCCCTTGACTGGGAATCAAACCCGCAAACCTCCAGTACACACGCCAGCGCTCTAACATATTTTCTATACAGCATATGATGCTGGAAGCAGTGACACATATATAAAGTCCTTCCAACTTTGAGATACTGGGGGTGCTTTTGGTTAGATGCATTTTTTAAAATTTCTCCTTTTATTTTTTCAAGAAAATACATAGATGGCATTGTTTAGGCTGTTCTGAGCACTTCATACTTAGCTCATTTAATCCTCACAAAAATCCAATGAGGAAGGTACTATTATTGGCCCATTTCATCGAAGAGAAAGGCAGAAGTTAAATGAACCCAAGGTCACACGGCTAGTAAATGACAGAGCCAGGATGTGGACACTGGTATTCAGGCAGCAGAGTGTGGGCTTTTCACTGTCAGCCTCTACTGCCTCTAAGCCTAACGGGTCCACGTGGCAAAAATAAGGAAATGATTTCAAACAGGAAGGGAATGGAAGTTATGCTCATTCCTCCCTCCCAAAGCTATCCATCTTCCTGCCCAGAGGAAACCCGTTAACAGTTCCCTTCTGGAAAAATGCAAGTATGCACATAAAAGCATATACCTAGATATATAAATTGTACACCTCTCTATATCTTTCAGAACAGAAATAGAAGCATTTTATACCACTGTTGCACGTCCTTATCTTACTTAATATTATATATTTGATTTTTTTCCATATCAAAACATATAGGTCTATTTCATTTTAAGGGTTACAAAGCAATCCATTCTAAAGAAGTAATATAATTTAATTCATTGCCCTCAAGATTTCAGTGGTCTGGAGTCATTTTCTTTTATAAATAATGCTACCATAAACAATTTTGTATTTGATGTCTTTCCTCATCTGTACCAGTTTATTTCAGAACAACTTAGGAAAGTGTAAATTTTGTCTAGGTTTAAACATGTGATACATTTTTCTAAATTACTGTGTAAGTGGTTACATGAATTTATATAGCATTAATGTATAAATAATAGTTGGTTCTGGAAGTTTATATTTACTAGTTGACATTTACATTTATAAAATTCTAAAGTATTGGTAGAAAGGCATTTTTGCTTTCTAATGATCAAAACAAGTCAAACTATCAAGGGGAACTTCTACCTTATGTCCTTTAACAACACCCTCGGCAAGAAAGGGTTAATTAAAAAGTTGTATCTGTAGTTGCTAAAAGACAGTCTATACCACATGACAAGTTACTTTCCGAAGTTAGAAGAACAGTCTGGCAAGTTTTCTTTATTGAGTCACGATCATGTACCTCCCTCTCTTGCTCTGGCTTCCAGGATGCTCAGTGTTACATCTGATGCTCAGTCACCTCAATATTAACCAATGAAGAAGCATCACTATTTTTGTGTTACTTTACTCCTAGTTTTATTGCAATGACCTAATTTCACACATGCATCTTATACAAGCCCTCAAGTCTATTTTAGAAATAGGAGATAGAAAAAAATTAAATGACCTTTAGATTAATAAAAGGTCAGGTAATGTCACTAAGGTAAGAGGCAAGGAGAGAGCAGTGAGCAAAACTTTCATTCCCTTCCTGTTTGAAATATGTTATTGCTCTTCAGAATCATCCTTAGAAGATAACAAATTGGGAAAATTCCTCTCATCTTCCCCCTTTGTAACTGGGCAGCAGGAATTAGAATTTCAGGGCAGAAAAGGAATTTGAAGATTAAGCAAACCTATCATTTTACAAATGAGGACACTGAGGCCAGAGGGGTGAGGTGACTTACCTGCGGCCACCACTCTTGGAAATGAGAGGAGGACTAAGGCGTGGCAGCTTGAGATCCAGGCCAATGCGCTTCGAGTAACAGGAGTCAGAAGACTTGGGTGGCAGGAGAGAGGAAGAGAAGGTAACCACACAGCCCCTAGCAACGACAACAACAAAAAGGACTTGAGGCACTCATAAATAATTAAGCAATTAGCTGAGCAGCTACTCCCCTCCCTCCAGCATGCAGTCACCAAGGCAACTTGGGCAGGGTGCCTGCTGGTTGCCTAGTAACAGTGTGGCTGGCTCCCCTGACGGGCTTCCTAGGCATCACAGGATCTGAGAGCAGGGAAGAGCCTTGGGCAGGGATCATTATTCTAACACCTTCATTTTCCAGATGAGGAAAGGGAGGCACAGAGAAGCCGAGTAACCTATGCAATGTCACACAGCTACTCGGAGACACAGCCAGGCTCTCTATGTCCAGTTGTTTGCTGCACTAGGACTGCCTTGGGGACACTGCAGATGGGGGGCGGGGAGACCACTCCATAATTCCTAGGAAAATAAGGAAGTAAGACCCAGCCAGCAAGCAAGAAAGAGACAGACCTTGAGCTCTCATGTGCAATTAGCTGGTAATTTGATCAGCCCAACTTTCATCATCACCATGGCAACATGGGTGAGGTGGGTGCTGGTTGCCTAGTAACAAGTGGTCTTCTGTCTTCCACTCCTATCAGGCTCCTTGGGAGTCACAGGAACAGTAGAATGTTGGAGCTGGAAAGGAAGGCAGAGATCCTAACTCAGTCTCTTCCTTTGACAAATGAGGAAATTGAGGTTTGGGACACTGCAAAGTCACACAGCCACAGAGCTCGCTAGTGATAGGGACTCATTGTCGGCCGGCCAGTCTTTTCTGAATTCCCTCCACTCACTGTCTCTGTCACAGCACTGCAGGAGAGGAAACTTCATGCAAAGTGAAGAGATTGGAGGGAAATGGCTGGTGGTCCCCGGAGGTGCTCCTACCACTTGTCTAAAGGTGGCTACGCCACACACAGGCCTGGCAAATAGTGGATGTACACGGAGGCACTATGCACAGTAGTTAAATCCAGGGATCTAGAGTCAGAAAACCTCCGTCAAAGCCCCCTCTCCCCAAACCTGGCAAACTTCCTGTCCCTCTGGGCCTCGGTCTCCACGTGTGAGAAATGGGCATCCCAACAGTGCCCACCTCTCCCTGAGCATAAATTATCATCAGGACTAACTGAGAAAATGGACACATCGATTAGTAAGTGTTTGTGGCATGTCCGCAACGCAAATGCCATGTCCCAGGCTCTGAGGTTCATCAGTGAGCAATACGGAAAGAAGAAATCACTGCCTCAGGGAGCTCACTTTCCAGTGGAAAGACTTGTGCACGTGTGTGTGTGTGTGTGTGTGTGTGTGTGTGTGTGTTTGCATCTTTTAAATGTTTGTTGAATGGGTGGGGGAACTTACTGGCAATCTCCTATGTTTATGTTGCTGGGCTCTTTCTCTAAGTCTGAGCAGGCTCCTGTTCACAGGGCTGTCTGGTACGTGGGAGCTTTTTTCCCCTTTTCTTTTAAAAGCTCCGGAGAAATAGGAAGGCAGTGGCCACTAGATGGCAGACCCTAGATACAAGGCACAGGGGGCAGGCCCAGGCCTGGGGCACACTTCCAGTGTTGTGGCTACTCAGTCCTAGGGGATGGCTCAGAGGCTGAGGGAGATTGGAAAATCCCCCAGGACAGTGGGGGAGGGGGAGAGTGGGGAGGCTGTAGAGTGGTTTAAGAGTATTGCTTTAACCCCATGTACAAAAATTAATTCAAAACAGACCCAAGACCTAAATATAAGATCTAAAGCCATGAAGTACATAGAAGAAAACATAGGTACTAAACTTATGGACCTTGGTCAAGGAGGACATTTTATGAACTTGACCCCAAAAGCAAGGGAAGTAAAAGCAAAAATAAATGAATGGAACTATCTATAATAATAAAAGTGTAATATGCAAATCAACTGAATGGCCAAACAGCGGAACAACTGTCTGGATGACCTTCCGGACGACCTTCTGGACAAAGCCGGGACTGCAAGGGTGGCAGAGGCAGCGGGGCTGTGAAGGCCTACTCTTGCATGAATTTTGTGCATCGGGCCTCTACCTCTAGTCCTATATAATAAAAGGCTAATATGTAAATCGACCAAAAGGCAGAACGACTGGTTACTATGATGCACACTGACCACCAGGGGGAAGATGATCAATGTAGGAGCTTCCCCCTGGTGGTCAGTGCGCTCCCACAGGGGGAGTGCCACTCAGCCAGAAGCCCTGAGCTGGGCTCATGGTTGGCAAGTGCACAGCAGTGGCGGGAGCCTTTCCCACCTCCGCAGCAGCGCTAAGGATGTCCTACTGATGGCTTAGGCCCAACTTTCATCATCACCATGGCATCGCCC